GACGAGGAGAACGCCCGTGAGGACGAGCTGGAGCTGGAGTACTTGAGGAAACAGGGTATCGCCCCTCTCCCCAAACCWCCTCCTGGAGTGGGGTTGCTGCCCACTCCCGGTCAGAGCAGCCCGACKGATGGAAGCAAGAAGATCCCCTCTCTGTTTGAGATCAAGGTTCAACCTACTGTAGACCTGGCACACAAAATCGCTCTGAGGTAACCAGAATGCTCTTTAATCAACTCTACAAGGAACCGCTAAGATCTCACTCATAATATTGCAATCATTATTTATACRCCAGCGGCTCCAGCTACTCGCAGAACGAAGGCGAAGAAACGGAGCAGTTCAGCGGAGACGCGGAGGACGCGCAAACCGGAGCTGCTGCGCCCTCGGTTCCCCCTTCTCAGATTCCCCCCTCTGAATCACCCATTCTTATGGGACCGCCCATGCCTCAGAGTCCCCCGGGACAGCACCCACCTCATGGATATCCAATGCAGCCCCAAGCTCCCTCTGGTCAACCCTCACCGTTTCACGGCTCTAATATCAACCAGCAGATGAACATGCAGAGGCCTCCGTTCCCTCCAGAGCTACAGATGTTGCAGAATATGTTACCTTTTCAGTCTATGGGTCAGAACCCGGTGGAGTTCTTTAACAACTTTGTACAAAATCAGTCCACCAGTCAACAAGGGGGTGAGTGATATCTTAAAACAATCCTTGAATAGGTTTAATGAATTTTACATGCTAATGGTCGTGTATTTTCGATGTTGTAGATCCTGCTCTGGCCTTTGTACAGCAGTTGGATGCAGAGTCCCAGTTAAAGTCTTTGCCTGCAGAGGTGCAGAAAGCCATCTTCCTTCACCTAACACAYCAGCAGCAAGAATCACAGGAGAAAGAGTCTCATAGAGCAGAAAGCCACGATGAGAACAGTGAAAACAAAGGTAATGGTCCACTAGAGCAGGGACGGGCAACTTAAATGATAGAAACTCTACACTCAACACTATCAGACGGGCCCATATTGCTGCATGCTTACCCAAATATATAAAACTACTATTAAAAAAATTTTGTGTACATATATTTATATTTGCAGCTTCAGTAAACATCTCATATTTAGCTTTGTGCAACGTGTTGTAGTGATGATTTATATTAAAATCATTCATGGCAGACTAAACACATACAGTTCAGTTCAATACTTTAGTCTCACAGGTCGGTATTTTTTCGATACAAAAAAAGAGAAATATTCATGCCCTTTTTAACTTGTAACTTGAAATTAATAATGAACACTTGCTTAACATCAAAAGTACATTTTTTAAAATAAATGTTGTGAAACAGCAAGTTTCTCAGTGGATCTGTGCTTGAAAATGCAGCCTAGGTAGAGTAGTCAAACACAGATCCACTGATCCTTCAACACAAAGCATCTTCAGAAGACAAGCTGATAAAATAAATTTAAAAAAAATCTGTATTGTTCCATACATAGTGTTTATTGAACGGTTTGATATGGGTACATGTATTGTTGCACCCTTAATATTTGTATATAAAGACTCATTGGCAGGCAGAATGGAAGTCATCCGGCCCACWGGCCACTAGTTGCCCATCCCTAACTGATGTTGAGAAAAAGTTTCCTTTTCTTTGCAGATGAAACTACAAACTGGTACTCAAGTGACGAAGAGGACGGGAGCTCCTGTGTTTCCTCCATCCTTAAGTCTCTAAAGAAGCACAGCGAGATGCAGCAGAGTCAGTCGAAGCCCCTGCAGGTGGTGCCGGGGGCTCCACTGAGTGACCCTCGGCTTCTCAAAGCCCCGCCGTTTGACCCGCGAGTGAAGCCAGAGCCTAGACAGCGACTGCCGGATGTCAATAAGGAGTCGGACGGTGCTGCGGATCCGCGGTTCTCCAGAGATCCCAGGAAGATGAGAGCACCCGAGTTGGGTTCCTATCGCCAGCTGGGCCACCCGGTTCCACAAAAGCCTCCGACCGGAGAGGAGGAGGACGAGGGAGAGAGGGAGCTCCGGGACAGAACTGTTCTGATCCCGTTGGACGCCAGCCCCGGCGCAGTGCTGCGGGACCCTCGTTGCCAGTTGAAGCAGTTTAGTCACATCCGGGTGGACATCCTGCTCCAGAGACCCACCTTTGCCCAGACGGTGGTYTGGGCCCCTGAGGATCTCATTCCCTCCCTCGTCCCCAAACAGGAGCACTCCATCAARCTGCCTCTCCCACCTCTGATTGCCGATGCTCAGATGAACCGATCAAACCTGCCCGACCACCTGACGGCTTCCAGCCCTCCACCGTCGGACCCCAGACTGACGGGGGCCCGTTTGAAGGAGCGTTTGAGTCGTTTCCCCTCTGGATCCCTGGAGTCTCGATCCTCCACAGAAAGACCCGTAGACCCCCGCCAGCAGAAGTCTCTTGACCCCAGACTGAAGCGTAGAGGGAGTCTGGACTCCAAGCTGCTGGGTCAGAAAGAGCCCCCYTCGGGCGGAGGGCTGGTGGATCCCAGACTACAGAAAGCCAACACCAGCTCGTCTCCTCAAGCTGCCCAAGGCAAGCTGGAGCCTGAGAAATTGCCCCCATATGCCCCCCGACTGGCTTCTTCTGACGGAGGTCTGGAGAGCCCCACTACAATACTCGGGGGCATCAGTCTGTACGATCCTCGCTCTCAAACTGAGCAGAAGGAGCAGGCAGAGCCTCCGAAAAAGGCGGGGATCCTGAAACAGCCGTCTAAAACCGAGAGCTCTCCCGCCGCCTCGCTTTCACCGACTAAACAAAGCGCCTCTTCTGAAGACGCCAAAAGCACAGACGTCTCCTCACATCAGACTCCTCCTGCTTCCCCCACAGTGGCCCCTGCCTCGCCCGTCAAACCCCCRGCAGTCCATAACCTCCCCATCCCAGCGCTGGCCGGGCTGATCCGACCCCAGTACTCGGACCCCAGGCAGGCCAAACAAGGAGGACAAGCTGGCTCTGCTGGAGCGCAGGAAGAAACGGAGGTGAAACAGGAGCCGGAAAGGYAGGTGGAGGAGGAGGGGGAAGCGAAGGAGGAAGAACCGAAACCGAAAGAGCTAGAGGAGGCCGATGACCGGACACTTAAAGACGTGTTCAAGACTTTTGATCCCACTGCTTCTCCTTTCTGTCAGTAAACCAGAGCTAAACTCAGAGTTGATGTTGGAACTCATTCATTAATTTAACATTTTTGGTTTTCAAAAAGAAAAAAACAAGTAGGTCCTCTGGATGGGTTCTTCTTTAGTGAAACGTTTCATCGCTCCACCAAGAGACTTCTTCAGTCTGATG